CAATAAATTTCATTCCACTTCACGATTGTGTCCCACTTGTTGTTGATTCTTCACAAAAAATTAAAATTTTATATCTTTATGTTTGAAGCCTGAAATGTGGCAAAAGGTTGAAAAGTTCAAGGGCCCGAATACTTTCACAAGGCCCAGACACACAGACAGACATAAATTTTCTAAGCATTCTAAGCACCTGTACATCCATTTCAGATTATTTATGAATTCAAGCTGGTAATTATTGGTAATTTAATAGCTTGTTTCCATCAGCATTGCAACAATTTGAATAAATTAAGCATCCTTTTTTTTTTACAAGCTGCCAAAGCTGAGAGACTGAACTTATTACAGCTAATTGTAGCTTTCAACCATTAGTGTAGGAAGTGAAGTGCTGCTGCTGGTATTTTGACGAAGCATCAGTAAAGAACATTTGGTTTAATTTTTGTTTTTAAAAACAGTGGTTCTAACAACAACAACACACACACACACAAAACATTAGCTGTAGCCTTGCTAGGTTAGAAATAATAACAGAAGAAGCAAAATTTCCACTTTCTCCTGTTTACAAACAAACTAGCATTAGCATCGCAGCACAGCTAGCCATCAGGAAGTTAGAAAAGTAAACCGTTTAAAACTCCCATCACTTTTACAAGTAAGCAATTGTTTATTATTCTGTTTGGTTTTTCACTTTTCAACCCAGTCAGCAGTAATTATTAAAGATTTAATACGAACGTATGAGAGTTTATGAAACAGCTAAAGAAATATAATCCTACAGTAAGCATACATTGTACTGAATAATTTTCTATTGCAAAAGTGGGTGGAGTCTTCCCATGCACCTATTTTGCACAGCACAAATGAGTTTTCTGCACAAACAAATCCCCCTAAAGTTTGAAAAGTCATGCCTGAAAACAAGGTCTCCATGTGGTTTGTCTGGGTGTCAGCTGTGCTCCATGCAGCATGAGCATCAGTAAGATTAGTTCAACATAAACGGGCTGAGAGAAAAGAAAACAGCCCCTGACTGAGATAGATTCTGGCAGGTCAGCCTGCCGAGACATAGGCATCAGGCTATGGTGTGCAAGCTGTGACCCTTCCTACAGAGTCTGGGCACAGCGTCAGTCTGTGCATTTCATCAATTTCTGACTAAAAATGGCTTCTGGGAAAATAACACCACCTCATTAATCTTGTCTGTGCCCCATCATGACAACCTAAATGGAATGACATGGTACATGTATGGTTCTTTATATATATATATATATATATATATATATATATATATATATATATATATATACTTAGATTTGTTGAGTAAATGATGCTGATAAACAGGCTTTGGCTTTGAATGCATTGAGTGAATACCTGCATTTCAGGGTCACATACCTGGGAAACCATCGAGTAAACTCTTCTAAACTACACTATTTGATGTAATTTAGAATAAGCTTTGTTTGACTTCATAGTTTGCAATGAGTACCTTTAACTAAAAACAGAAACAACTCACTTTTTCTTGTCTTTGTCCTTCTTGAGCGGCTGCTGTGAACATCCTTGCAGCGCCTGTCCCATCAGCGTTTCAGCAGCCACCTTTCTTCTGTTGAAGGCGTTCATCTCTTCCTCCAGCTCTCGTCTTTTCTCCTCAAGATTTTTCTTTTCTTCGTGGTGCACACGCTTGAGCTGCTCGAACCTCTCGTGAAGCTAAAGATTGGCAACGAGGATGACAAAAGACACGGTGAAAATACACCAAAAATGTTTCAAATCAATGAGGAGGTCCCTAATGTTTGCACAGTCCTCACCACTTTTTCCTTTTCTTTCAGCTCAGCTTCGGTTTCTTTCACTTTGTTCACAAACATCTGTCTCATTGCTTCCTCTTTGTGCTGGAGCTCTCTGATGAACTCCTTCCTCTTGGCTTCATATGTCTCCTGAAGGCTGAAGATCAGAGGAATAAAGTTATTTGGTGCTGTCAACTTTTAGAAGTTTTATTACCATCATCACATTTTGACTCATGAACATCACACTACTGTGTATGAAAATTATAATTTATGGACTTTCTGTCATTAAAGGTACTTGAACATTAAAAATCTCATGACTGGTAACAACGCAGGCAAACTATACAAACAGATTAGACACAATCAATGACCTAATTATATAAAAATGTAAACAAGTGGTGCATGTATACCAAGCACATTTGCTCAAGTGTGACAACAGATGATGCTTTTGTATAGAATAAATCTTAACACAAACTAAACCTTTAACACATATGTGTCAAACTCAAGGCCCGGGGACAAATGTGGCCCTCCTTAACATCTTATCTGGCCCCCAAGATGTTATTTTCAATGTAAAATACTTTTATCACTTTAATTTTTTTCAGTAATCTTTTATTATGATGTCAAAAATGCAACAGAAAACATCAAATGAGACCAATCAAACTCTTGTTGAGGAACCTGCGACCAAGAAAAGATGTTGTGTATCTGACTTGAGTTAAAGTAGTTTCTGAAACCGGCCCTTAGTTTGAAAAAGGTTTTAATTTTGGTCCCCTTTTGTAAGTGGATTTGACACCCCTGCTTTAACTCTTAGCCATGTTGTGCTCACAGAACATCGAAGCGTCAGAAAGTACAAGTGGTGTTCTGACAAATTTAGGGTAACTATTTTTTTGTAAATGTGCAAAACATTTTAAACATTTCAGCCTCGCATCATGTCAGAAATGGTGTTTTCTGAGTCGCTAAACCTTTGTTTTTCTGAGCAAAACCTCTTTTTTTGTGTAGCCAGCCAAAACACAACCTTTGGAAAACGATGTCATAGCCTCATCTCATTACCCATGACCCAAGTGTGTTTACATCCACTGTGCACGCTTTTACATGCACGCTCCAGACCTTGTTTCCTGGTTTTAGTGTATTTCATTGCAGCATCACAGTGCCACACTCAGGCCTGGCATAGTTACTACAGTTTTGAGTTGTTTTCTGTGTCCATGTTGATGACAGTATTATGAGGAAAAGGCGGCTTGTTTAACAGAATAAATTTAGAAAAACAGTTTTTAAATGTCATGGGCCTTTAGGAAGGTAAACCAGGCTGCACAGTGGCACTGTTGGTTAGATCTCTTGCTTTATATTAAGGCAGCTACTCCCGGCGACAGACTTTCCGCATGAAGTTTGCATGTATGCGTGGGTTTTCTCCAGGTTCTCCAGTTTCCTTTCACAGCCCAAAAACAAGCATGTTAGTTTAGTTGGTGACTCTAAAATGTTGTCAGGTGTGGATTTGTCCTTTTGTGTTTAAATGGCCCTGTGATGGACTGGCAATCTGTCCAGGGTGTATCCTGCCTTTCGCCCAATTAACCTTCTAGTCCTCATGACACAGAAGAAGAAGTAGGTAAATAAAATGGATTGATAAATACAATTTTCCCAGATGAATCACACTGAGGGCACGCCTATTTCACCTGAACGACTGGCTGTCGGGGTCAGTGTCCTTGAAGCCCATCTCTTCAAGCTTGCAGCGACGGTACAGCTCGTAGTGACGAGCATGTGTTTGCTCCCGGAGATCCTCCATGTTAACGCGCAGCAGCATCTCCCGCAGCTTCACCAGATCACAATGATCCTCATTTTCCACTGCAAACACATAGAAGCTTGGCTGGTTAAGATCTACATTTCTACACTTAGAATGTTCAGAAAACCAAAGAAAAAGAAATAAAAAGAAATTGAACCGCAATCTGTTTTGACACAAACAAACGGACTAAACATTTCCAACGCACACTTGTGATGCTTTTTTAAAATCACAGACTCACCCTGCACTGCTCCCCAGGGGTACAGACGTCCTCTCACCATCCTATTCCCCACTTTAACATCCTCTGTGCTCCCAACCACAGCAAAGGGAAGACAATTCTGCAACACAGAGCAAATATTTATAAAACGTGTGAACAAATTAATGATTTTTCTCATCCACAAACTTCAATTTAGCATTGTATTTACTCTGGAATATATGTAACTCATAAATAGTCATTATAGACTTGCACTGCATGCCACAGTGGATTGCTCCCACCAGGGGGCAGTCCCTGTAATAACTATACCAATCTATTATTTGGAGGTTATTCTTGCGTCATCACTTTTTTGTTGCATCATATGAACTGATATGAAAATCTACATAATTTTTTGCGTGTCTTCGACTTACATTCATGGCAGAGTTGATCTCTGCAACATCCTCATCCTCTGTAGGAAACTGATAAATCTGCACTCCGTAGCTGCGCAGCTCATTCATGATATTCCTCTTTAAGATTTTCAGGTCATTCTTGGACACGATGTCTGCCTTCGCTATGACGGGGATGACGTTGACCTGGAGGGGAAACCCGGAGCGTGAGATGCCGACGTGAGGACGATGAGAAGCACGCAGCTCGAGTCGTTTCTCACCTTGCTCTCCAGTTTTTTCATTGTGATGAGGTCCAGAGCCTTCAGGGAATGGCCGACGGGCGCGATGAAATAGAGGCACGCGTGGATTCTGCTGTCATCGAAGTTAACGAGGGAGCGCTGGATCTTTAGCTCCTCTTCGAGATATTTCTCAAACTGGATGTCGAGATAGTCGAGAATGGGCTTGTAGCTGTAAATAAAACATCAACAAAAAATAATTTATTCATCAGTGTGCAAACAGGAGGCCTCTCAAAGCTTCTGAGATACGCTGGTGTCCTGATTACAAACTCTGCACTCGGTCAAGAATGCCAGATTATTATACTTCCTGCTGATTGACTTCTCTGAAGCTCTCAACTTGGGATTTGTTCTATAAGCCATTTCCTCTTTTTTTTAGTTCACATGCAAACCAGGCTTTCATCCTCTAAACCCACCTAATCAATATGAAGCTGCCACTGATCAACAAGATTTCAGTGACTAATCTGGTAGTTTTTCAACATTTTAACACAATTTATTGTTCCTTTCTTTGTGCTAGACGTCTTTCATTCCTATTCAAATTTTTACAATATCTACATCGTAGACTTTTTTTTAACCCTTAAAGACACGTGAACTTCGGAGGAAGCTTGATTAAATGAAAAGTGAAAGAGAAATACATATTTTCCACACTTTTGCATCTCAAAGTTTCAAAGAAAGCTCAAATGTGATGTGTTAGAGCTCAGAATATGTGTTGTAGATTACTCTCAGCTACTACCACACCAAATTATAGTTCAATATACCTAAAGCTGACATGTTTACAGCCATTTTGTGTTTAATAATTTGAATAATTGTGGCAATTATCTTAAACCAAAAGGAAATTCAATTCAAAAACACTATTAATTCCAAAGGAAAATTAAGTGTTGTCGTAGCTCGTGATCCTGGTTTCATTCAAGAGTTGTTAGATGTTGATGGCTGTGGGCAGGAAAGTTCTCCTGCAGCGAATCCGAAGAAATGGCCACAGATACCAATCCAGCTTGTTGTCAGATCCGGCGAGCCTCTCAGTCCTCCTGGGCAGCAGGATTGCCCCAATGATCCCAGTCCTACCGTTGTCAAGAGCCGAGTTTCCCACCAGCTCCAGGATCTTGGCGGTCAGGTACTCGAGCACCACCGCCAGGTTGACGGGAATTCGTCCACAACGCCTCCTTTTCAACTCATTTGGGATTTGGGGCTGTAGTTTAGGTCTTTGACCTTTTGAGATGTTAAACAGCTGCTCATGGTTGTTAAAAAAAAACTTGTTGCCATGGTTACGCATCATAACAAATGCCCAAAAGTAAAAAGGATTCAGTAAAAATCCTTCCAGCTGCACAACATCTGATACCATTAATGATTCGAAAAAGGGATTTGCTTCCTGAAAAAAGAGGAATTAAAGTTTTCAAAAGCAATAACTCAGAATGAATGTAACAGAGCTACTCCAACATGCAGCCACCCCAAGTACTTCATTTCGAAGATTCGTTAAAATATGCCCAATTGTTCATGAAATATTTTGCTAACAGCAAAATGAGCCGTCAACGTTCTGTACCTCTGCTCATTGTTGATCTGGTCTCCGAACCCTACGGTGTGCACGGCGGTCAGCTTGAGTTTGACGGTGTTCTCCTGCAGATCGTGTGTCTGTGAGTGGAGCTTGACTTCTGCCTCGTAGTGGCTGGCCTCCTCGTTTTCGAATGCTCTGCCAAAAAGAGTGTTCATCAGCGTTGACTTGCCTATTCCTGTCTCTCCTTGAATAAAGCAGCAAACGACAGAGGAGGTTTAATAGAGGCAACGCATTGCTGGTCCAAAGAACAATGAACCCATGCTGTGTTAGACGTACCGACGCAGAGGATGTTGAAGCAGAATCCCTGTGCAACCAATTTGTTGACCTGCTGACAGGGGAGGCTGTTGAACCCCACATGGCCGCTGAGCGCCAGGCTTCGCTTTTCTTCACTCTGACATAAAACATTTAGAAAAACGGTGGAGAAAAGATTATTTCTTAAAGCAATAGTTCTGATCTTTGTAAGCAAGTTTTTGTGCAAGGGTTGTGAATGATTAATATATGATCTCAAGTTCATCCAGCTGCTCAGAGTAAACAATTTTCTCAAAACTGAGATTGTCCAAAGATGCATCTACAACAGGTAAGATGTTGATAGTTCATAACCTTTACACTGAACCCTGTTTTAAAAAGCACAAAACATAGCTTTGAATGTCAGTGTTATTATTAAGACTTCACACCTAAATAAAGTAAATATCTGAGAAAAAAACAACAACAAGAAAGTCATTAAAACTGTGAGATAAAGTAAGCACAGTAAGTGGGCAGGTGGGTGGGTGGGTGGGTAGGTAGGTAGGTAGGTAGGTAGGTAGGTAGGTAGGTAGGTAAGTAAGTGGGTAAGTAAGTGGGTAGGTGGGTAAGTAAGTGGGTAAGTAAGTGAGTAGGTGGGTGGGTGGGCAGGTAGATATGTAAGTGGGTAAGTAATTGGGTAGGTAGGTGGGTGGGTGGAGCAAGTGGGTGGGTAGGTAAGCAAGTAAGT